TGACTTACACCTACTTGAGCATAAATTTACTACCTGCATCAATTTACGCCTGATTAGTTACTGTGTAGTAACGCACATGTAGATGCCTTACTGCACAGTAACACTGTGTGTGTACTGATTTGGGACGAACTTTAGTCTCAAGTCAGTCCACACACAGCGTTAATGCGCTTTAATGCCTGCATATGTAGATGCCAGCCTATTTCTGTTTATTGCTCAGTAAATTTAAGACAACATACGTGCACGTGTAGACATGCCAACTGTGTTAGTAAAGCTGGTTCTCCACCATTGTTAGCAGCTAAGGGACAGCACACATACATTTTCTAGCTCTGCATATAAAGAACCAAAATATGCAGATTTGGGTACATAATGCTGGGTACCCAAGTACAAATGGCCTGATTGTCTGCAGTTACTCAGTACTGAAGCCAGCAAGAGGTGCATACTCTCCTCACCTTTAACAAAACAGACAGAGAGGATATGAAATAATTTGCTTGAAGTACTTTGCATTCATTCCTTCAGCCACATCCATGAGAGCTATCCTTACTTCCAGCACTGCTTATTTCATACCATAGCTCAAATCTGTGCTAGTAAGGTCTTCCCCCACACAGGTGTAATCTGATCCAAGAAGGTAAAAAATGGTACCAACACAAAGGATTCCGGGTAACCAAATACTCAGCAGTACCAGGATAGATATCAATGGAGTATGCCCAGGAGCAAAAATAACAGGAGAGGATAGAGTTGAGGGCAGAGCAGAGGGCTTTAACTGAAGGGCTTGTGGAGCAGGAATAGAAAAAGTACATCCCTTTTTCAAGTAGAGAAGAGAAGGGGAAAAACAAATACATAATCATTGTACTTCTGTGAGAGTGGATGTCTACTGATCCTTCTTCCACTTTCTGCCAAGGAACCATTTCTATAAGCATTCCACTTTAGCCAAGTAATAGAAAAGCAACATGCTTGCTGTGAGTTTCAGTAACATTAAGGCAAGAGGCTGCAGACAGGCAGAAGCCAGGAAATTCGCTCTTCAGTCCAGGTGTAAATCACACCCTAGAATTAACACTCACCCCATCCAGATTAGCAGTGTTATCACCCTTAACTAGAAATTTCCTGGTAGCTGTTGCCTTTGGGTCATTATCTAGAAGTAGTTTCTGGTGAATATCTGTGCTTATTGTTTTTATAAAAAGACTAACTCTTCCATGGAAAACTTTATTGGCTTTTGCTTGAATTCATATGTACGATTATGTAATTGAAAATATATCTTATCGGAGGAAAATAGTTGGCACCAAAGTGAGCCAGGAAATCTGCAGGCAGAAATTTATACAGCAGATAACTGCAGCTTCTCAGTGATTTCATGTTTTTGGAGGTAACGTGGGGAAGGTGGGAAAGGGAAAACGGAACTTGCAGAAGACAAAAACATTTTGGACTAATCACCTCTCAAATGTAAGCACCTGAGACAGGATTTTCAGGGCCACACAGCACTGCATTGGAAAATATTTAGTAACATTTTCAAAAGTTGATTTGGGCACTAAGATGATGTCTAAGTCGTTGAAAGCTAATAGATTGCTAATTCACTCGAGTGCTTTGGAATAGTTTACCTGCTTACTTACACAAACACATACATGAAAACAGCCAAATCCTTTTATTGAAAGCAAAATACAGTTTAAAAGCCTCTCTGGAAACCATGCACTTCAGCACCTTAGAAATCTGCCACCAGCTGTAATGTGAAGTGTTGTCTTTGAAGAGAGACCCAGAACCATCACATAAAGTCACCTGGAATTTGTTTTTATTTTGCCTTTAACACTTCTGCTTCTCTCTCCTTCCTGGGATTGTAAATTTGGACTGCTTCTAGCCTTTCTGACAGGAGAGACAGTGTAACACTTATAGCAGGGGCGGGCAATTATTTTGGGCAGAGGGATGTTTACCGAGTTTTGCCAAACTATCGAGGGCTGCATGGGTAGCCTTGCCCTGCCCCCTGGCCACCATTTTGTGACCAGAAGTCCCACCCCCTAAGCCCTGACCTTTGCCATCAGAAGTCACTCCCCTTGTCCCCAGAAGTACTCCTTTCAGTAAGCGGTTTTGCCATCTTGGAACCAGACAAATACCAAATGATATTCTAAAAATTGAACATCTACAACATTCATTAATTTCATTTCAAAAAATATTGTTGTCCTGATTTACATTCATTTGTGTAGTGTACACAGAGGTGATGGCACAATAGCTTAAAATGAAGTCCTATTCTTTTGGGTAGGTAGTGGGTGGAAGGGTGGTGCGTATAGGTTTGTGGAGGGCTGCGGATGTGTGGATATGTGGGGGAGGGTGTAGGTGTGTTTGGGGGAATAGATGTGTGGGGTGAGGGAGCATGTGCGTGTGTGTGGATATGTGGGGTGAGAGTAGGTATGAGGTTTGTGGGGGAATGTGTGTGAGAGGAGGGTGGCTGGGATGTGTGAGTCTGCATGTATAGCAGTGCAAGTGGGATGTGGGTGCATGTGTATGGTGGGGTGTGCGTGTGGGACTCACCTCTATAAACACACACACTCCCTGTCCTCCCCACCCCCCTGGCTCCTGGCCCTGGGGTACTGGCGTGAGCCCCATGCTCCCGCAGTCTGGCGATACAGCCAGGAACCACGCAATGCTAGAGCAGTGAGCATGCATGAAAGCAGGGTAATGGGTGGGGGGGTTGGGCTGGGCTGCTCGGTTCTGCTGCTGGCTCCCCCTGGGTCCTACTGCCCCTGGCTCCTGTTATCTTTGACAGCCAGCCAGAAGCAGATAAATATTAATTTTCAAAATTTTTTAGGGGCCCCACAGGTTGGATAGAGTGGCCTGGCAGGCCAGATACAGCCTGCAGGTCATATTTTGCTCACCCCTGACTTATAACCTTGTGGATTACTTGCTTAAATGAACTGGTCTGTGCCCACCAGAATAGGGAAAAATCTTAGGATGTTCAAATTTCTGTAGCTGAGCAAGTTCATTTATTTAGGTAGCTGCCGGGTCAACTGCAAATCTTTTGTGAGTGTGTATCCAGGTAGGGGAGCTAGTGTTTCTTTTCTACTCAGGCCTACATTTGCCATACATTGGTGAGAGTTACACACACACTCACAATACACCCACTGGGTTTATTCATCAGCTGCCTCCAAAAGGTTGTATGATTACTTACTGATTAGTAGGTATTACACTTTGGAATATATGCACAGACTGAGAAATAGGATTAGGTCACTGATGAAGACTCACCCATCACCCTCGTGGGCTTGCTGGGGAGATAACAAGGCACCAAAATGCAGCGTGTATTCAGGAGCCTATCACTGGAAACTGATCTGTACTGCTGAGGGTCTGATCTAAAAAAATGAAGTCAGGTAAATGAACATAGAGGTGACTATGGAAGTTAGACTTGAATAAGAAGCCAGTCTTAAGTGTGCCTTTTTTGGTGACACATGGGTGGAGTGGGGGTGGGGGGGGTGGATCTGCCCCTTTAAATACAACAACCTAAATACCAGGAGCTTGCATGGCACAAACATTTTAATGAGAGAAATAAACTCCCAACAATGCCTGTCTTTCTCCTTTCACTGAACTTTTCCAGGGAGTGAACCATCCTTCTAACCTTCACGGCTGACTGGTTAAAGGTCGCGCCTGAAATGTTTTCAGAAAAGGGGGGGGGGGAAATAGATCTGTTTAAATGATTCCAGAAGCCAGGCTGGATGTTATGAGTCAGCGTCGTCCCCTATAGCAGCTCAGATTCACTCTCTGATGCCTTACTTGTTCTAGTGACCTTAAAATGTGGCTGTGTATGGTTCTGGGTGGAGGAGTTGGGAAAGAGTGAGGTCAGATGAAGTAAAACAAAGGTTTATCTTTACAAAAGGCCAGTGAACTAGGGCACTGTCTTCAGGGGTTTCAAAATGCCACCCATTCACTAGACTACATCAAAATAAAGGAGTGTGTGTCTGTAGAGTTTTGCAGGCTGCTCCTTCATGGATCTGCAGAATGCCATCTACAGAAGCGATTAAAGTGTCCCAATCCTGTGAGTTATTGAGCACCCCAGGAAAACAGATGGGAAGAAAGTCAGCATTTGACAAAGTCGTCATATACCAATCTAGTAGAGCTTATGCTTAAGCATATGCTTCAGTTTAAGTAGAAGGGAGGACCACTCAAGTCAAGCATGCACTTTGGTGCTTTGCTGAACTGGAACCAGTTCATACACTTGTAGAAGATGTCTACTAAACTGAGCTTAGAGACCCCTCAGTTAATTCTATAACAGCAGTCAAAACATTTCACGTTTTCTCTTTTTTTTTAAAAAACTGAAATGGGTAGAATGAGACTGGTTGGTTCCAGGCTGTTTTGTGGTTTGGAAGCTTGATGTTTCCAAACCTGATCTGTTTTACAGTGAAATACAGGCAAATTTGAATTGATTTGCCCATGTGTATGTGTTTCAAAAAAGATAAAATGGTGCCTGTTCTTTGCTGTGCTTAGTTTTTAAATTAAGCCATGAAGTGAAACACACTTGACTTTCTCAGCATTGGATACTTCATTGCTGGCTACAACATCCTTCTGCAGAGGAAGCAGGGATCCTTATTTCAAGACTAAGCTAAATAGCTATTCTACTTAGCTGGCACCTCAAGAGTCCCACCAGCTCTTTAGTATGATGCATGTGCAGTGACCTGCACCAGAGGCATTACTGCTGCTTTATATAGTATTTTGGCCTTGTCTACACTAAGGCTGTACTATTTGGGCTATATTGTAGCTATACTGGATACTTTGTACCAGTTATCTGTTCCCCTGCAAGAATAAGCTATGGCAGATCCATATGGTAGTAACAGCATCCACACTAGAAGATGGATTGGAATAGTTTAAATGAACTTGTTAATTGAATGGAAACACTGTACAGACCAGGGCTCAGTCATTTATGTGGCAGCACTGCCCATATTAGTCTGTGCTATACAGATAGTGTGTGAAGAAAAGTGTGTGATCTAAATCAAAGCCACTGACATCTAACTGCTAGAACTCTGCCATTTCAGGTAGGCCCGTGGGACGAAATAACAGAAGGTTCAACCGTGGCATTGTGGAGGAGTGCTGTTTTCGGAGCTGTGACCTCGCTCTTCTGGAAACATACTGTGCTAAGTCTGTTAAGTCTGAACGAGACCTGTCTTCCACATCTCTGACAAGCTTACCAACGCTAAATAAGGTGAGTAAAGATTGCATCTAGACATCAGCTGCTACTAAAAGTCCCATGGGAAAAGAGAATTCTTATCTCTAAGATCTGCTGCTTCTGCACTAAAAACAGTACAGGGAGATTGTCATGGGACAGAGCCATAAGCCAATGGGAACTACTGTGAAATGACCTGTCCAAAACAAACTGCCAATAAAGTGGGAGATCAAAGATGTAGTAGATGAAGTGAATAAAAGTAAAATTGTTTTTAAAGGTACTATAGAGAGGGGAATCAAATGAAATCACTGAAAGGTGACATCTGTGCTCACTGTTCAAGTAAAAGTAGGCTCAGTTAGGAAAAGTAGGAGTGGTTACCACAGCAATGGGAAAAGCATTATAATATAATGGAGAGAGGCAAGGACTGGAGAGTTGACTTCCAGATTCTGAGTGACTTGCTGTGTGACTTCAGTCTGTTTGCTCAGCTTGTTGCACTGCAGTTTACCCGTGGATCTAAACCATCTGTGTTGTGTATCAGAGCATTATGAGAACTGGTTTGCCAAGCACAGATTCCTTAATGGGAGGTGCTACAGACCTGACTTGTCCTCATGGAGCTGTGGATGATGTTCACTTACATTTTAAATTCTGACTGGCAGTTTATTGTTTAAATTCTCCTTATCACCTAAAAACCTTCACACAATGAAAATGGTTGCTGGTTGCTGCCTCCTGTGTCATTTTATGTCTTATATCAAAAAAAGAAAAACAGCCTTGCTGGTAATAAAAGGGCTGTTCCATACTGTTATAGACCCAAAACACTTAAAGAAAGTTGCAAATATCATCTTCATGGGGAAACTGACACATGGAGGTGAACTGACTTGGCCCTGGTCATGCGAGATCCATGGCAGAACCAAGAACAGAATCAGTGTCCCATCCCCTGAGCTATGTTTTCTTGCAGCAACAGCAATAGCTGACAATGTCTGACAGAAATAAACCTTCCAGTTTAGAGGAATTAAAGTTAATTACTAAGACACCAAAGACTGGTCAAGTAGAATCGATCATGTCTTGGGGCAGGGGGAATAGACTAGATCAGTGGGGACCAACCATTCTGGCAGGCCACAAGTTAATCCCCATACCTCCACAAGAGCCAGGGCGATCCCCTTCCCCTGCCTGATCTGCTGCTCTGCTTTTTGCTCCCTGTCCTGTGCTCTCTGCCCCATGCTGCCCCATTCTCTGATCTGCTGCATGCAACACACAGAGGCTGGTCATGCCACACACCGGGGTGCCCCTCAGGTCAGCCACCCCTGGAGTCGATGACTTTTCCCAGCCCTGTTCCCTGTGACTCTGACTGCACATTTCTTGCAGTAAAGAAAACCGTAGTGAAATAAGTGAAAATCTATAATGCAGGGAAACAGCTGCTGACATCTTGTAGTGGATAAGCGTATCTGCTGCATTTTCAGTCAGGGAACTGAATGTGTCTTGGTTTAATTTTAGGGGAAATTGGGTCAAAGTGATCCAAATATCTAACAAAAAATTGGTTATTATATCTGAGTAGAGCCTTCTGGTGCAAGCAAGTAATTGAAGATGAATTACTGGCAATGGCTCCCTTCAGCTGTCTCAAAACTACATTTGTTAGCACAGCATGAGATGCAAGATCCTTCCAATGAATTCCCCTTTCTGCCAAAGTAGTCATACATTTTTAAGAAAGTGAACAGGGGAGCACAGTGACTGCATGCTCAAGGTCTGAGCTATTAATTACCTCAGTGCTGGGGCTGAAACATGCCTCAATCAGTGTTTTTGCTATTAGAGGGTCAAGCTGGGCAGGTCTGTCTGATTGGGTTTCTCTGTGGAAACAACAGTGTCACGGTGTTTACAGTCAATGGCCCAACTCACTGTGATCCTCACTTTGCTTTTCCTTTTACACTCTTCCCCTTCAGGATAGCTTTCAAAAGCCTCCACATGCTAAGTACTCCAAATACGATGTGTGGCAGAAAAAAAGCACACAGCGCCTACAACAGGAGGTCCCCAGCATCCTCCGTGCTCGCAGGTTCCGGTGGCAAGCTGAAGGGCTCCAAGCATCTGATGAAACCAAGGTACATCGTCCTCTCATCTCTCTGCCCAGCCAGAAGCCTCCGATTGTGCGAGCTTCCTCAGAAACAACAGGAAACCAGAAATGAACTGTGAAATTGGATTCAATTTTTTTTTTTTTGCTCTCCTTGGGAGGGACTTTTAAGGCCTAGGCCCCCAAACCCTCCGCCCCCCACAAAGCAAAGGAGGGAAGCATTGTCCTTCTCACCAAGGAGCAATAAAAAGGGGGCACCTTAATGCTAACCTAAAGAGAACCAAACAACTGACATAGTAAGAACAGGATTACAGCGCTGTCAGCAGCAACATAATTTCTGTGGCATTGTCCTTTAAACATTAAGGGGTTTTATTTTCCCATATGTACCCAGTATTTTTCAAGCCTGTACTTAAAGGGACAGTTTGGCACTTGAACTTTTTCCTATTGGGCACTACATGACATCACAGGTGCCAACAACAGAAGACAAAAGAAAGAGAGAGAGAGAGAGAGAGAGAGAGAGAGAGAGAGAGAGAGAGAAAGGACCTTGAACAAAAAACAAAAAGCAAAAACAAAACAAAACAAACAAAAAAAACCAAAAACAAAAAAGAAAAAGAAAAAAAGAAGAGTCCATTCCATGTCTTTCTTGACAATAAAGTGAAAAAAAAAATAGAATGGAGAGAAATATTGAGGGTTTTAATTTTGCCTCATTCCCACACCACTTTTTTTTCTTTGGTAAAATTTGCTTATTTTTATAACAGCAATTTCTTTTGCACCTTTTTTGTTATGAAAAAGTAACTGAGAAGAAATTCCAATGCAACCCATCTGCAATTGTTTGTGTGTGTGCTTAATTACAAGATTCCAAATCGACTTGCACCTTTTGAAAATCACCGATGAAGTGAGGGAGAAGTAGAAGAGAAAGAGGAAGGAAAAAAGAAGTGAACCGATGTTCACTTTAAATGGAGGAGGCGTCTTCATTGCACATTTGCCACAGATTTAGTTGAATTATATATATAATATATTATATAACTTTTTTGGCAAAAAAGCACTATTTTTATGGGACATTTTGTGTAGTATCTGAAGAGGGATTGTAATGTTTAAAATGTGTTATGGTGCTAAAGTAAGTTGGAAGGGAAAAAAACCCCGAAATAGCAAGGGAGGGTGGGGAGGGAAGGACAAGATATCGAATACTGAACTTGAAATTTTAGCTTTTCGTTTTAGGAAAAGTGTGATAAATGTGTTTCTTTTCTCTTCTGACATATAGCTTGGTCATGACCATATGAGCTAGTTGGCTGTCACTCATATACACAGACGCACGCACACGCAGACATACAACTATATGCATCTTTTTTAGATCAAAAGGAGACTTAAAAAAAAAGATACACTATCCTGATGTTGTTAAGGTTTGTGAATTACCACTCTAGGCCCTGGTTCTGCAAGGACTTTGGCACATGCTTATCTTCCTAAACTACAGGTAGTTCAGTCTGTTTCAGTGGGACTACTCAAAGTATGTAAACTTAAGCATAAGCCATTGCAGGCTTGGGGCCCTGCTGTTCACACCAAGCTCTGTGTGTCATTCACTGAGTGCTTTTTGGTCTCCCTCTAACCACCTTCTCTCTGACCTAATGGCTCATTATGGCTTTGATACAGCAAAGTATTGGCACACTTGATAGTAGGGTTGACTTCAATGAATCTATTCCCATGTTTAAACTTAGGCATAGTATCTTGCTGAATCAAGACCTGTGTGAGTTACCTTGGAAGCAATAGCTCCATGGCTGACCATCTCCTTATCCTGATCTTTCCCCTTTGCTCCCTTTTCATAGAGTATGCTTTGAAACCCGGGTCTCCATTCCACTGTGGTGCCTTTACACTGTTCCAGAATGGGTGAGCAGAAAGGTCCCTAAAGGGAATATGCCCAGCCTCAGATCTTGAGCTGGCAGAATGATTCCATGCCATCCTTCCCCTCACCTATGGTGAATGGAGGATAGCACTGAGGGGCCTTTGAGAAGCTGACTAATTTAGAGCCACTTTAAGGCGACTCTAATTTACACTGACGGTGGGGCAGGCCCCTCAAAATTGCAGAGGTGAAAGGTGTGCCAAAGTCACATTGACTCCTGCTTTCTGTACCTAGTGCAGGATCAGAGGTGGTACATGAAAGAGGGTAAAAGGCTCAGGAACAGATGAGCAAATAGGTTATAGAGGTGGGTAGAGGGCTGTAAAATAGGTTGGTTAAAATAATATATATAATCTCTCTAGGAACCATAAAAGGGGGAAATCAATTACATCTCCCTATGATATACTCTCACTTGCTAATAAAATGGGGACACTCTGTTAACCAGTTCTGTACTTGCTTTGCCTTATATATCCATACATTTAAAGCATACAAAAAGACTACTTGAATTGTATTCTGTTTCGTGGTTTTGAGGGGAGGGGTTGGGGAGTTGGAGATGGAGGAGGATTTTAATGTATAATCCTTTTGTTTATTATTACCTTGCAATGTTGAGCCATGAAGCCTTTGTTTAAAAAAATGGCACTGCAATACACAACAAAGTAAAGCGTTAATTTATTTTATTATATATATATGAAAGAAAGCAAAAATTGGTCCAAATCAAAAAGGCGGGGAGGGAAGTCAGAGGGAAGGGGGAGGGGAGGCACAAAAACCAGAGCAACTGCAAAGAATTGATTTTTTTCCTTTTGTGTGTCTTTTTTAAAAACCTAGTTTTTATTTTTAAAAAGAGAAATAAAAGCTTTCCTGGATGCTTTGTACCAAAAATACAATAAAAAAAAAAAAAAAGTAAAACCTGTTAAGCAAATAAATATCCATCCAGAATACCAAGCCTGCCTTTTTCTTTTCTTTTTTTTATTTTTACTTTTGGGGTGACTGACTGGTGGGGGAAAAAGTTGCGCCAAGAGACAATATTGATAGAAGAAAAGAGAAAAATTCTTTAATTATCCTCTCTTTGGGTTAAATCTGGCAAGATAGTACATTCAAACCATAGCTTATTCATGTGTTTAGTTTTAAGCAAATTAATAAAAAATGGTCAAAGGCTTGCCCAAACCTATTGAGCAAGCATGGTTAAGGCACACCAGTTACCATAGCCAGTGGTACACATGGAAGTGATGTGGCCAGCATTATGTCTGGCTACAATTGAATCCCCAGCTTCACTGACTAGGTACCCATTTACAGCTGGGTCATCTGGGGGCAGTCTTCAGCTTGAGTCTAGAACAAACTCAAACTCAAGTCTCTCACAGTAAGACACCCAAAATGCTGTAACTGTGCCCTTAAAGTGAATCGGTAATCCCAATGCAGTTATACACATACTTAAGTGTTTTGTTAAATCCTGTTCCTGTTTCCTTTAGACTTTGGGATTTGTTTGGGTTCAGCAATTTGCAGGTTTTGGCCCTTTCCAAGAATCCAGTAGCTGGAGCCTTGGCTCATAAGTGTATCTAGTTGGAAGTAAAAGGTGGGTACGTAAGTTCAGATCTTGTTTTGAAATTCCTTGTAATTCTGTGGTTCTTAGACTTTGGGTTTGCCCATTGTCTCTAGCATTTTTGGATCCAAATCATAGTAACCTTGCCTTTTCTATAGCCCTCTTTGGAAATAACATTTTAACTCCTCTTGCTCTGATCTAGTGTCAGGTTCTACCAGCATAGTCTACTATGCAGGGCAATACTAAATTAGGCTTGTAGGCTGATCCAGCAAGGTCCTCAGCTCATGCATAGTCCCATTGATATGATGGATCCATAGGCATGATCTGTTGAAGTACCTTGTTGAATTTGACCATCAGCCTCTATGGAGCACCAACCTGAGTGGAAGAAGTCATCAGTTCCTAAACTGAAGCCAATACTTTTAGGCATCTGCAATCTTCTTTTTTCATTTGTGCTGTAAGAGTGGATTTTTCTGTAAGGTTTCTGCCTTTTGTCCTTTATGCATATTGATGGAGGTTGTCCTTTAATGCAGGGGTGATCTGAAGAGCTGCCTCCATTCAAACATTTAGTTTACTATATGTAGAAGGGAAAAGCCTAGGGTTTCCACTACACCAAAATATAACCCTGAAGGCTGTAGCAACTCTTGCCATACTCACTGTTCTTGTGTGAATTGCCCCAGGCTCAATCCTCCTTGTTAGGAGGAACTGAAGAACATTTTTTTTGGTCTTGATTGCTAACATTTAGTAGCCTTACGGAAATAGCACTGTGCAGGGTTCTCATCCCCGACATTGTGTTGGCTTGTTTTAATCCATGCAAACTCTAAAAACTTTTCCCCAATCTCTAAAACTTTTCTTGCTGTTCAAAGGGGTTAAGACATGTAGAGATATTATAAAGAACGTAAAATTTCAGCCAAACCTCCTCCTATCTGCTTCCCATTGGGAGTCAAAGGAGAAAGTGCTGGAAATGCCATTAGGTAAACCTTGTGATGCTTCCAGCTCTGCTGAAGATGCTAAAGGTTTCAATAAAGCATCTCAATTCTCGGAGGCTGGCCAATTGCTAATTGCCAATTGCTAAGTGGCAGGCAAAACTGTGATGGAGTGTGGGAACTACAAGGTCATTCTGCAGCCCTGATAGGCAAAATCAAGTTAAACGAAATGGTGGCTGGTATTTATCATGTTGGTTTCCCTTGTCTAGAAGTACTGCATCCATAAAACTCCATAGAGTTGAGTAACGATGTCCTGTATCTCTGGATTGCTTGCCTTACCCATTCTGAACACTCTTGTTGACGGGTGTCTGCCTGGAGCCTTCATCCAGTTGGACTAAACTAGGGAAATCTTCCCTCAGTAGTTTGACTGGGGCTGGGGAAAAGACCCTGCAAGAGGGAAAGGGAATGGATTGTAAACACAATTTTAGTATCTCAGCAGGTAAAGTTTTTTAATTCCACTTTCTATATTTACTATGTCCCCAGTTCACAGAGAGAACTGATTTCTTCTACTTCAGGTTATATTAGAGTAAGTCTGGAGCAATGCCAGGGAAGTCAGTGGATTTATTCCTTTAGGCTAGATCATAATTTGTGCCATGTGCCTTTCTGTTAACCAGCAACTGATCTGGTATGGAGCTGTCTTTGCCGACGGAGAAAGACCCAACTTATCTTTAAGTGACTGAACCTGGTCTTGAGCTGATAGACTCACTGGTAACTTTGGACTAGGGTGGCTCTTTCATTTCAGTTGTTTCCTTCTGGTTACGCTGACTGAGAAGCCTGTCATTGGGCTTCAATTCCTCAGAGGTCTTTTCACAGGTTTTGCATTTAAATCCCAGGCCCTGGGGTTGAGGATAGACTAAGATGCAGCTTCTGCCTGTAAGGTGTTTACATGTGGAAGCAAAACATAACTTTTGGGTCTTCACAGTTGTAGAAAGCTTGAGAGACCCCTGGTATATGTGGTGGAGCCCATATAGTACTGCAGAAGGTCATAGCTGGAATGGGGACAATATTCTTTATGAGTGAAATGTTTAAAGCTTCTCTAGAGCTTTGAACACCTGATTCTTACTAATCTTTTTACAAACTCAGCCTGGAGGTTTAGTCCAGTTGGTACACAGATGC